AAAAAAAAAAAAAAAAAAAAGAGATGAGGTGTTGTTCTTGGTCTGCCTGAGCTCACTCAAACTCCTGCGCTCAAGCAATCCACCCGCCTCAGCCTCCCAGAGTGCTGGGATTATATGCGTGAGGCCACCTCACCCACCCTAACTCTTCAATATTCAAAGGTTGTCCTTCTTAGGAAAAGTGTACCCTGCTTCATATTAGTCAGATAAGGTTAATGTTTTGAGAGAAAAGAATTGTTAGCTTACCTATCTTTTGTCCATGACAAAAATCAGTTGGGTGTTTAGTTAGGCCGTAACATCAGAAAATTTAAGTTAATAAACTGGATGATCAGCTCTATCTTCTATTACCAAATACTGCCAATTATTAATAAAGACATAGTTGTATACTTACAGTTTTAACAATATTAACAACTTCTTTAATTTTCACCTGCAAGGATCTGAAATTTTCACTTGAGGGTCAGAAACAAAGGAATATTCAGCTAAATCTACTCTTGGAACAACAGAAACAGCTACTAAATGAAGCACAGCAAAAAATAGAATCACAAAGAGTACTCTATGATGCCCAGTTATCAGAGGAACAGAGTCGAAACTTAGAGCTTCAGGTTCTTCTTGAATCCGAGAAAGTTCGGATTCGGGAAATGAGCAGTACTCTGGACAGGGAACGGGAGTTACATGCACAGCTGCCAAGCTGTGATGACAGTGGGCAGCTGCGGCCGTCCTTACCCTCCGAGGACCTGCTTAGGGAGTTACAGAAACAACTCGAGGAAAAACACAGTCGCATAGTAGAATTGTTAGATGAGACTGAGAAATATAAACTGGATTCTTTGCAAACAAGACAGCAAATGGAAAAAGATAGGCAGGTTCATAGGAAGACATTGCAGACAGAGCAAGAGGCCAACACAGAAGGACAGAAAAAAATGCACGAGCTCCAGTCCAAAGTGGAAGATCTTCAGCGCCAGCTGGAAGAGAAAAGGCAACAAGTTTATAAGTTAGACCTTGAAGGAAAGCGACTGCAAGGTATTATGCAGGAATTCCAGAAGCAAGAGCTGGAACGAGAAGAAAAACAAGAAAGTAGAAGAATTCTGTATCAGAATCTTAATGAGGTAAATTGACACTTTGTTTCTCTTTATTTTTATTTATTTATTTATTTATTTTTTGTAGAGACAGAGTCTCACTTTATCACCCTCAGTAGAGTGCCGTGGAGTCATACAGCTCATAGCAACCTCCAGCTCCTGGGCTTAGGCAGTTCTCCTGCCTCAGCCTCCCAAGTACCTGGGACCACAGGCGCCTGCCACAACACCCGGCCATTTTTTTGCTGCAGTTTGGCTGGGGCCAGGTTTGAACCCACCACCCTCAGTTTATGGGGCCAGCACCCTACCCACTGAACCATAGGCACTACCCTTCTCTTTAAATATTTCTTTTTTTTTTTGAGACAGAGCCTCAAGCTGTCCCCCTGGGTGGAGTGCTGTGGCATCACAGCTCACAGCAACCTCCAACTCCTGGGCTCAAGCAAGTCTCCTGCCTCAGCCTCCCAAGTAGCTGGGACCACAGGTGCCTACCACAATGCTCGGCTATTTTTATTTTTGGTTGCAGCCGTCATCGTTTTTGGTGGGCCCGGGCTGGATTCTAACTCGCCACCTTAGGTGTATGTGGCTGGTGCCTTAGCCACTTGAGCCACAGGCGCTGAACCTAAATATTTCTTAAAAGAATACTGCAGCCCTCTGCTCATTAAATTTTGATATTGGATTATATTATCTAAATAGACATATGCAAATCATTTAAAATGAAATCTATAAAGTTTGTTTGAAATATAAACAATAATTAGGTTTCTTTTTAAAAGAATGTGATATGCTGCTCATTTGTAATAATTATTTTCTTTTTCTCTCCAAAATTGCCAGCCAACCACATGGAGCTTAACCAATGATCGAACTAGAAATTGGGTGCTTCAGCAGAAAATAGAAGGAGAAACAAAAGAATCAAACTATCCTAAACTGATTGAAATAAATGGAGGAGGAACTGGCTATAATCATGAATTAGAAAGGATCAGACAAAAGCTTCAACATGTAGCTTCAAAACTACAGCATCTAGTCCAGAAAGCCTCTAATAGGTTAGAGACTTTTGTGCCCCATCTTTGGAAAAATAGCATCATTAGCCTGAACAGACCCCATTGCTCATGATAGCTAGCTAACGGTAGGGAATTGAAATTTAAAGGTAATGCATGTTTACTTTAGGACAGTGGTTCTCAACCTTCCTAATGCCGCGCCCTTTAATACAGACCCAGAGGTTGAGAACCCCTGCTTTAGGAGATGATATCCTTTAACAAAACTCATATCTGAAAATAATGCCGTAACCTAGAGAAAGAGAACATTGACAATAAGGGAGAAGTGATGGGGCAGCAAAGCGTTGCCTAGTCTATAATGTCTGCTACTCAGCACCCCTAATTGAGAAAGTATGTCTTGACAGTTTTTTATTTTTCTTGAAGACTACAGTTTGAAACAGCAGATGATGAAGATTTCATTTGGGTTCAGGAAAATATTGATGGAATCATTTTACAACTACAGAAATTAACTGGCCAGCCAGGCGAAGAGGTAAGACTCTTTTAAATAGTTCTTTCTAAAACATTGAGAGCAAAGATAAAATACAAACTATAAATCATTTGAAACTGGCAGCATATCTTTTTTTTTTTTTTTTTT